AAGCCGCCGAGCCGCAGCAAGATTACCATCACAAGCACCAACACACAATATCATCTCGTAATATTAAGCATTTGAGTACGAACTCATTGCACTGACCGCACACAAACACAACACACAGCTAAACAGAATGAGTATGAAAAACAAACCAAAAGTCCCAAAAGAACGAAAACGTAAGTTGACCTTCTAAATTCTGGAAACTCACAAGTACACCGATGAAAGTCTCCGACGCGACTGAAGCGATAACCAAAACTACATAGGTAATTATTGCAACTTGAACACCAGTGTAGGTACCTAAATCAAAAGTGCACCGATTTAGGGTTCCGCGTCATCAAATTCTGTGTTAGGTAACCTACCTAACAAAAAAATCGTTATTTTATTATTTAATTAAACAATGAAATTTCAATGAAACTTATTATACTATTTTTTTACTGACGAAATTGATAATTAGGCTGTTTACTTATTATTACAATTTTATTTACGCTTGTCACGGTTACAAAAGAAAAAAAAGGCCATAATATTAAAAGTGGTTACGTAATTTAAGACCAAGTCATTAACAAAATTATAAGGCATAAAAGTTATTGATTAAATTAGAAAAGAAAAGAAATATTATTTATTATTAGACCTTTCCATTATAACTAACCTTTATTTAATTATCATTTAAACTAAGAATAAGCGAAATATTTAGATTATTAATATCATTGTATAAGTCCGTATTTTATTGTTTCGAGAAAATAACACTGCTTTATGAAAAAAAAAAACTGGTTGGCTGTATCATTGATACAGCCATATTTTATGCGTGGAGACGTCTATGTATGAATGGATATATGAGTAATTGATAAAAAAAAAAACAAATTGAAGACACTAAACACTAAATAAATAAATATTCGTTGCGTTCATTTGTTCAATGAAAAAGTATTCACTAGCGCCAACAGATGGCGTTAGTGCATATACTCCTGCTGACAGAATGCCCCTCCCCTGCAGAGCAAGCATAGTTCACTTATACGCCAATAGATGGCGTTAGTGCATATACTCCTGCTCACAGATTGACCCCCCTGTAGAACGAAAACATAGACGTATCCACGTCAAAAAATAACAAAACTTCAAAGCAATTAATCTACAGAACCTTACTGACACATCAGAAACCCGAGTTTCTCAATACACATCGTCCTCGGTTTCATGTCTCTGTCGCTCCTTCTTGCATAGACTAATGTGAGCAAGATATAGTGCAGATATCTAACTTCAATCAAAGTATTTGCAATTTCTTTTTTATTTTGACTGTATTATTAGAGAAGTTTTCTTAATAATAGTTTTTCAAACACCTTTACCTTTTTTAAACTATTTCGGCACATGGAGTCGATGACCAAATACAACACAACAGCTGTTTTTAGGGTTGTCTGCGTACAGTTTTAATTAATAATAATAATAATATTTATTTATTTCCACCACAAATAACATTACAAAAGGATGTACAATAAGATTATTCTATTAAGAGTCATTTGTGGGAGACTGGTGCCTGTGTAGGTTCAACCCCGTATTACAGGTCACCAGGCCCCACCCCAAATGAATTAGATAATATGTTACAATTTATTACTATACAACTCTCAAGTGAACAAGCACAACACATTAACAATAAACGAGATACAAAATCAAGAAACTGAAAATTTGTAAAGGAACATCTAGGTATTTTATCCAGATAGTTATATACTAGGTATTAAGCATTCAATTGTGATTTATTTATTGCATTACTTGAAACAATAATTCTGTATCCGCGTACGAAAGTGTCATAAGGTACTCCTTAAGTTTTTTATGACATGACCATTTATTAAGGGCATTCATAGAAATTTTCCAATTCAGCCTATTGTACAAGAATGGACCCAGATAACCGAAAAACCTTGTAGCATGAGCTGTCCTACAACGCATCTCTTGGATTACGCGATAATATCGATTACGACGTGAACATCTAAGATCCTGGCGCAGTTCCGATAAACCGTGCTGTTTCATCACGATATGAAAGATAAAAAGTTGCCGGACAGTCAATACCTTGCTAATTCTATATAAATCTAGAGTAGGATATAGAAGAGGTTTAAAATTGATGACTTTTAATACAGCTCTCTGGGCCCTCTCAAGTTCAACAAGATGGGTCTTAGCAGCTCCGCCCCAGACCCCTATCCCATATCCCACTACTGACTGACATAAAGCATAATAAACGCTTCTGAGAGTACTCATATCAGCAACACAACGCAATTTTTTAAATATAAAAATTAGTTTTCTTACTCTACCGCAAAGTGTTTTGATGTGAGAAGAAAAAACCAGGCCACTATCAAACAAAACGCCAAGGTACCTGATATGACTTGTGCTCTGTATAATATGGCATGCACATTCATTGTCATCGTAGTTACCACAACAATGGGCCTTAATATGAGACATATTTATCGGGGGTAAACAAGAAGTGCGAATTGCAAAGGGCATGTATTTAGTTTTCTCACAATTTAGAGTCAATAAATTTCTACCAAGCCATGTACATACGGAATTTAAACCATTTTGGGAATGCAGAAAAACTTTTTCCCAAGTATCTCCAGAGAAGAGTAACGCTGTGTCATCAGCGAAAGTGACTATCTTGCCATTTTGAAGTCTGAGATTGCAAAGGTCGTTGATAAATATAAGAAAAAGTGTAGGACCAAGGATACTTCCCTGGGGAATACCATATGAAACCTGCAAATCATTACTAATTACTTTTTTCGTCAATTTAACACATTGAGTACGGTTTTTTAAATAATCAGTGAACAAAGATAGTTGAGTACCCCGAATTCCTATCCTTTCCAGCTTGGTGAGCAGTAATGGTATCGAAACAGTGTCAAATGCCTTAGCCAGGTCCAGAAAGACAACCAAACACCTTTCACCCTTATCCATGTTATAGACCAGGTAATTATTTACTTCATGTAAAGCATCAGATGTTGACTTTTTTGCACGAAATCCAAACTGAGCATCAGAAATCAGCTCGTTACTCTCAAGATACTTAATGAGCCTAAAATTAATGATTCTTTCAAGGATTTTAGAGATAATAGGCAAGATTGAAATAGGGCGGTAGTTACGAGGGAGATTCCGATCACCATTTTTATAAATTGGGTGAACAATTGCCTTCTTTAGTACGTTCGGAAAAGCACCAGAAGATAGACAAAGGTTTAGAATAAATGTCAAAGGAGGGATAAGAAGATGTTTATGCTTTTTTAGAAGGCCAGCTGAGATGCCGTCCAACCCAACAGCCTTGTCTGATTTAAGTGAGATGATTATTCTGTCAACCTCTTCTTCGTCAGTGTCGAGTAGCACGAAGGAATTATTTTGAGAAGTAGAAGAATACATTGTATCTGTAAGTTGGCAATTTACAGGGGTATTCATAAGACATTTCTCTGCAAGATGCTTACCAGCATTTATAAAGTAGGCGTTTAATTCATTTGCTGACTCTACGGGAGTGGGTCTCAATTGCAAGAGTTCAGTAGTAGCTTTAGTTTTAGAATCAAGATTTGCACCATCCCTTACTATACTCCAAATACGTTTGGGGTCCCTGCCAGCTAGAGCAAATTCAGACTTTTCAAAGTTGTGTTTTGCATTTCTTATTAAGGATTTGCAAAAATTTCTATATCGTTTGTAGGTGACTCTAAGAATAACATTGTCTGGGGACTTTTTACATTTATTATATAGATTATCTCTATTTCGTAAGCATCTTAAGAGTCCTGAAGTCATCCACGGCTTAATAATTTTTCGTCTTCTAGTAGGGTTAAATGTTGTGGTGCTATTTGATATTGATTTTTTAATAGAATTAATGAAACACTCCATAGCCTGATTTGGATCACTCAACTGATATATTGTCCCAAAATCTATACTTAAAAGATTTGAAGTCAGTTTCTCTTCGTCCACTCTAGAGATAGTCTCCGGGAGACAATGCATTTCTAAATTCATGGAAAGAGACAAAACAACAGCCGAATGATCTGTGACAGTGGTCTCAACAACGACAGTAACTGCAGGATAAGTAGTCTTCAGTAAAACATGGTCTAGGCAGGTGTGCTTATGGGTAGGTAGAGTATGAGCTGGGAGAAATCCCAGCAATGCAGTTAGGTTTAAATAATAAGAAGAATTCGAAGAAAAAAGCTAAATATCTAGATCAGATCAGCTGGGTTTCAGACTTAGTGATAATTTTTCTGGGTTCTATTCATCATACCGTACGTGCCATATTCGGGATTATACAGGTATTACCAAACACGCTGTATTTAACGATGCAGTCATCAATAACTGCATCCGATTCACATGTGTTTGGAAACCATATCTATTAATTATATTATTCGATTATTATAAGCAGAACACCTCACTATCAATTTCAGATTGATAGATGGCAAATGTGACTTCTTATAATGACCCAACTTTACTGGCAGTTGTAAAAGGACAGCATGCTCTAAACGTTTTCATATTATCGGCCGTGTATGCTCGCACACCTAGAGTTAAAGAAATTGGAATTGAATGAGGAAGTATTTAAAAAAACATTAGTTCCCAAAATAGATATCGCTACGGTACATTCTTGGCTTCTCCATGACAACCCTTCCGGTTTTCTTTCATGTATAAAAGTTTATTAGTTTTCAAAACCCAATAAACAACTCATATTCTATTTGTACTTTTTCGTATTTGTATTGATATCTAAGTTTCAAGAACTTTGCAAATTTCAGTTTTTTAATATGTTAGTTAAAATGAACGGAAATTACTATCTTTGGCCCATTCGTTTTCTGCAAAAATCAACTTTTGCTAGAGTCGCCATCTAGTGAGGTGCTTTTTTATGCTTTCTTTTTTTTTTAAATACTTCCTCAGTATAATATAATAAGTACACTTTAAATTTTTTAGTTCTGCGTCCTAAACATTCCAGTTTAGTATGCAGTCCTTGGTTTCCATTTACATTTACTCTTTGGTAAATTATTGTTCTGTTCCCCTATATATATTATACTACTCTTTGTTCTGTTCTGTGATAACTCTTACGTAAAGTGTGTGTGAAATTATCTTAGTTCTTGATTTTACGAAAATTTATCTTGTTTTTCAAAAATGTTTTCTACCGTCTGTCGAGCTGGCCGATTGGCCACAAGGGCGGTAGCAAACAACTCTGCTACTGATAAAACTCCTTTAGTCATAGGAACTTTGGTGAGCCAACGAGATTATGCTGCAAAAGCTTCACCGAAAGGGCAAGGTAAGGTGGTTGCGGTTATCGGCGCCGTTGTGGATGTACAATTTGAAGACGCGCTTCCACCTATTCTCAATGCTCTTGAGGTTCAAAATCGCTCTCCCCGGCTGGTGCTTGAAGTTGCCCAGCATTTGGGAGAAAACACCGTTCGTACCATTGCTATGGACGGTACTGAAGGCCTGGTCCGTGGTCAGCCCGTGCTCGACTCCGGATCACCGATCCGTATTCCTGTCGGCGCAGAAACTCTTGGCCGCATCATTAATGTCATCGGCGAACCAATTGACGAGCGCGGACCCATACCTACCGACAAAACGGCCGCTATTCACGCTGAGGCACCAGAATTCGTAGAAATGTCTGTCCAACAAGAGATCTTAGTTACTGGCATCAAGGTCGTCGACCTTTTGGCTCCCTATGCTAAAGGAGGTAAAATTGGGCTATTTGGTGGTGCTGGAGTAGGTAAAACAGTACTAATTATGGAACTTATCAACAATGTTGCCAAGGCACATGGTGGTTACTCGGTATTTGCAGGAGTTGGAGAACGCACGCGTGAGGGCAATGACTTGTACCATGAAATGATTGAATCTGGTGTAATCTCTTTGAAAGATAAAACATCTAAAGTTGCCCTTGTCTATGGACAGATGAATGAACCTCCTGGTGCCCGTGCGCGTGTTGCTCTCACTGGATTGACTGTAGCTGAGTATTTCCGTGACCAGGAAGGCCAGGATGTATTGCTCTTCATTGACAACATTTTCCGTTTCACTCAAGCTGGGTCTGAAGTGTCAGCCTTGTTAGGTCGTATTCCTTCTGCTGTAGGTTACCAACCTACCCTAGCTACTGACATGGGTACCATGCAAGAACGTATTACTACCACCAAGAAAGGTTCTATTACTTCTGTTCAAGCTATTTATGTGCCAGCTGATGACTTGACTGATCCAGCACCTGCCACCACATTTGCTCACTTGGATGCCACCACTGTGCTGTCTCGTGCTATTGCTGAGTTGGGTATTTATCCAGCTGTAGACCCATTGGATTCCACTTCTCGTATTATGGATCCTAATATAATTGGAGCAGAACACTACAATGTTGCACGTGGTGTACAGAAGATTCTGCAAGACTATAAATCTCTTCAAGATATCATAGCTATATTGGGTATGGATGAATTGTCTGAAGAAGATAAGCTGACTGTAGCTCGAGCACGCAAAATCCAGAGGTTCCTGTCACAGCCCTTCCAAGTGGCCGAAGTTTTCACAGGACATGCTGGTAAGCTAGTGCCTCTAGAAGAAACCATCAAGGGATTCTCTAAAATCTTACAAGGAGAGTATGACCATCTGCCTGAAGTTGCATTTTACATGGTAGGACCAATTGAAGAAGTTATTGCAAAGGCAGAAACTCTAGCTAAAAATGCCTAACTTCTATTAAAGCTTAATACATTTTTCTGCCATCATTACAATTATGTCTTTTAGAAGATGATAGATATACATACATTCAAATCCATTTATAGAATATGTTGTTAAATATTATAATTTATTAGAAACTTAATTTTTTCATTTTTTTATGTCTATAAATTACAGATCACCTGCCCAAATACCTAATTCCCTAGATATGACTTTAGCCAGAACTGTAAACAATAAAAATATTTTATTGACTTTATTAATATTTATTATTTTACTATGTAAACATTACTTCTATGCAATGAGTTGTAATATCATTGATTGAAGTTAAGTTAATTTAACCATTGAAGCTCAAACTTAATTCTTACTTCACTACATAAGTAAATGTTAGTCTAAGTTCATTGGTTGATTGTATTTAGCTTTGTATAAGATAGATTTTTGGAAAATAAAAATATAGCCATTGCCATAAAAATGTATATTTATAGTGTGTCTGGGCACCGGTATCCGACCACTTAAGGAGAAGTAATATAATCAATTTAATGAATAAATTCACTATAATTATATAAAACGTGTGAATGAAGGCGCTAATTTATTAACTTGTTAATTCAAAGAAGCGTAAGGGTGCGTGAAAGACACTGTTACAGTTAAGGTTTCCCAGTTTTTTGTTGATTCAAAACCAGAGGTTCTACGAATCAAAACCAGATCGGACCAAAGCAAATGACAAAATCGTTTTTAGAATAATAGTGAGTAAGTAATAACCTATTTGATTTTGTCATTACAATCTTAAGTCATAATAAATAGCAGCACTTCAGTTATAAATCAGGATATAGATAATGGTGATAACGTTTAGCATGTTATTTGCGTAAATTCGGAAACAAACCCCTTGCTGTACATTTTTCACATAACGTGGTAAACTGCCTACTGAAATATTTACTGGTTTATTTTCCATTTCCATTTATTTATTCTATTTCCTTTACCTCCCGTTCTAGTATTCACTGAGTGACGGCAAGGTAATGATTCTCGATCCGTGTGATTAAATAATACAAAACTGGATTTGAGTCGTACAAGAAAAAAAAAAGGTACATGCAAAAGAAACAAACAATACACGTCAAGCAATTTAGACTAGTAATTAAGTGCGAATTTAAAATTTCGATTGAGCAATCAGAGTAAGCAAAACAGAAGAATAAAAAAATATTAATAACAATATACTTATTGTAGATATGCTTACATATTTGTACTATAATTTATAAATATGTTATAACTGCCATATTAAATTTCTTTGCAGGCATGATTAATCGAAATCCAATATACAAAGTTGCGATGTATAAATTTTTAAATATTTATGAACATATAAATAAGTAATAAAATAAAACAAATAGACATAGCAATAAAAATGTATAAATACTAGTTCATATACATATTTATACTCAGTAATTTTTCAGTCATTTTGTAGTCACACTTTCCTAGATACTCGTTTTCTAAACTTATATGTTTATTGATTCTATTATATAAAAAAGAACTTAAAAAATAAAAGAATTTGTGAGCAAAGTCAGTTTTGCAAGCTGGAACTTTAAAGACGACATGTGATCTACGATTTGAGTTGTAGTACCTAGAGTGAGCGTGTTGTTTTAGGATAACTGATTTAATATATAATTGTCTAACCGTTAGTGCTTGAAATTTTTTTATATAATGCAGTTGTTGGAAATTTAAGGGGTTTGAAAAGTATAACTTTTAATATAGTTCTTTGGACCCTTTCTAATTTCAACAATGTAGTTTTGGATGTTCCTCCCTATGCAATGATGCCATAACAAAGGAGAGACTGACACAAGGAAAAATAAAGTTTTATTTGCATGTTCACTTTCTAAATGTCTAATTTTTTAAAATACATAAATAAGTTTGCGTATCCTTGATTTTAAGTTATTTATATGGACTTTCCAATTTAGATTCTCATCTTTCAAAATGCCTAAATATTTAATACTGGATACAATTAAAATTTGTTGAATCGTACATATTTGTATATGTAATTTTAAATTGAATTCGGACGACGAGTGTTTATTATTTGAATTAATTGAAAAAAGGATATATTTAGTTTTCCCTAAGCTGAGTGTAAGTAAAACATTATTCAACAATTTTATTTTGAATCTAAGTCCTCTTTCAGTATTGAATATAAGTTCAGTTACAGCAACAGCAACACTGTGTCATCGGCTTACGAAATTATTTTCTACATTTGCATTACATATATAAAAAAAAAGCGTCGTTCCAAGTACTGAGCCCTGTCGCACACCATAACTTATAGTCTGTATAGAACTATACATGTCACCAATCTTAAGTGCCTGTAACCTATTTGACAAGTAATCCCTCAGAAGATCGAGGGGAAGGCCAATCCCGTATCCCAATTTCTTGCAAGTTTGTGCAGCAGCAAGGGTATCGAATGCTTTGGCTGAATCTTAGAAAATACCAAGACATTTATGCTTCGTATCTAGCCTTAGCCATTAGAAACCAAATCATCGATTGTTTCCGCCGTAGATTTCTTTTGTCTGAAACCGTATTTTTTGATAAAAGGCCACTGGATTTCAGATACAGTTATTTTACACGTCTACAATTAATAACCTTCTCTAAAATCTTAGCAATAGTAGAAAGCAATGATATAGGACGATAATTCGAAATCTCATTCACATTTCCACTTTTGAATATAGGAACAACAAGAGATTCCTTCAACATCTCTGGGAAGACACCAGATGAAATACTTGAATTGCAGATGTGAGAATTAGGCACAGCAGGAAAATCAACGAATATCTTCAAGAACACTGAAGATATACCACCCCAACCTGCAGAATTACTTTTTTTTAATGAACCAAAAATTTTAGTTATTTCAGTTACATCTGTTGGTATTAGAAAAAATGAATGTATTGGTCCATCATTGTGATTATGATGTTAACCAAATCAACCTGTGTTATATTTAGATTTTGTAATATCTTCTCAGCAAAACCATCACCGACACCTACAAAATATTCATTTGCCTGATTAAGTGATTCTATTGGAGTCGCTTTAGAATATATGATAACACGTCAGTTAGGGTATTAAGTTTTTTAAGTAACAGACACGTTTAATAGATTTCCACAACTTCTAAACATCTTTTTTTATTTTGCTCTAATTCAGAGATATCGTATGCTTTTTTGAGATTGTATATTATTACAAAAGTTTCTGTAACGTTTGTATGTTATTTTTAAATATATGTCGTTTGGATTTTATTTATGTTTTCGATGTAATGTATCACGGAATTTAATGCAGCGTAGCAATCCTGCAGTCATCCAGGGTTTGATTGTAGACTTTCTGTTTGAAACTTTTAAATGAGGAAGTATTTAAAAAATGCATAAACGAAAGCACTAAAAAGCACCTCCACTAGATGGCGACTCTAGCAAAAGTTGTTTTTTGCAGAAAATGAGCGGGTGGAACATTGGGTCAACCTTAACCTGTCGCTGTCTAGTGGGTTGGCTTGGTTTCGTTTTTTGATGGTGAAGCGGAGGGGGCGGGGGTTTGCGTTCGCTCTCTTGGGCCGGGTTTTGTTTTGGGTAGCGGCCCGGGCGTCGAAGCGGCTCCTGGGATTTTTCTTTCACAGTTGCGGGCGTCTCATTCTCTTGCCTGTTTTCCTTTTTGATGGGGTGGCTTGTCCTCTTAAGATTGGAGGGTTAGCCGGGGGGGATTTGGGAAAGAATCTTATCCTCTTGCCGTAAGGTCGGGCATTCGGGGGGAACCCTAGTTGGTTCTTTAGACGTTAGAAGTGGTCGGTCCAGTTCGGAAGGGACTCTGCGACTATTTGAGGGAATCCCTTGACTTCTTGGGCTCTAGGCTTGTCCGGGAGCGGCGGGGTGTATGATATGGGTGAGCTTGGTTGTGCTGCCATTTGCGCGTAGGCCCGGCTGTCTGAAAGGCGCGGGATGGTGGCGTAAAAAGTGGATACGTGTTCATCGCCTTCTCTGAAATATGGGCGTAGCGACTGGGTGAGGTTGGTAGTGTCGAAGAGGTAGTCTAGTATGGAATCGTGATGAACTATGGGTCTCTGTTGAGGTGATGGGCCGAAACAGGGACGTTTCTCGTCACCTCCTATGATATCATAAGAGACGTCTTAGTCTCGTTCTATCCTGTAACGACGTGCGTCACGGGGATGCAGCTTCTTGATTGGGGGGATGGGAGAGTTTCGCAGAAACTGCTCTCGCACTCTCTTTAGTGCAAGAGACACTTGCGCCTGTTTCTAAGAGCTGGCTCGGAGTCCTTGCACATCTGCAATCAGGCGGTTTCCTTGATGGAGCGTCCATATTGTACCCGTTATTAGGTAGAAGTAAGTTGATATGGCAGCAACTTGGGGGTGGATGACCCAGTTTTTTTTTCTGGCGTCTCTGTCGCGAAAGCACTGTAATCCTTTGGATTATTGGAGGGGGTTCAACAATCCAGAGGATTAAAATGGACAACAATCAAAAGGATAATCCAAAGAACAGTCGGATGCCTGGGAAACTTCGGTACGCAAGGTGGGGCTCGACGTAGCTCGGTGCTACGGAGCGCGCACGACCTCTCGCGGTGAAGACTCAGGAACAGGAAACACTCCGCTCGAAATGCTGTTATTACGTGATCAAAACTGCCGAATTGTGGTATGAGTGTGTATTTGCTATAATTTTTCTATCAGGAAAGTTTCTTTCTGCTGACTGGCCTAGACCAGGGGTCGACAACCTGCGGCTCGCGAGCCACATGCGGCTCTTTGGCTGGGAAGCTGCGGCTCTTTAGTTCCGAACACAAATATTATTTATTTTATAATAAAAAAATTTTTTTAAAACTTTCTGAATCGATTAACAAAGATTCAGCACCACTTCTATCTCTCAGCCACATAGTCTTTGCTTGTACCCGCTTTTCACGGCACCCCTCGACCGCGCCCGCGATACGCGCCGTCGTTCATCACTGTTGTCAAGATTATTTTCTTTACTTAAATAACTATGCAAAGCCAAAGTTTCTTTTGAGTTTGTTTGCTCAGATATATGTTATGTTCATTTTTATTTTTTTAATTACAAGTTACATTGTTTGGTAAAGTTTAAATTTTATTTTTAAATATCCAGGCAAAGCCGATTGAATTTCCTTGCTCATCATTATGATTGTTGCTGCCACGCCCAGACTGAGCTCGCAGCCTCGCGCGGCATGCGCCGCCGCCCCGCTCGGTAAGTGTGAACTGCTGCGGGCACGTTGGCTCGAGGCATAGCAAGCGTCCGCCTCGCCCGAGGCAGTCCACAGTCACCACACCGACCGAGCGGTTCGGCGCATGCCGCACGAGGCGGGCCTCGCCTAAAGGTGCGCGCTCAGTCTGGACGAGGCTATTGAAGTACAAATTAATGTTGTAACTAAATGTTTACGTGTTTTATTTTTTTACTTGAATTATAAATAATGATTAATACCACAAATATGTTTAATTTTTTATGAAAAAAAACTACTCATATATGAATAAATAAATATTATTTTGTCTTATTAATAAACAGACTAAAATTACTTTATTTATGCAAGTACTATTTATTGATTGAATCACCATGATTGACCGAAAGTAGTTAATTCCGTGCATCGGGGGGCACGTTAAGCCGTCGGTCCTGCGCCTGATCTTTCACCGGTCGTGTCGGTCAACCGTCGCATCGGATATAGAGAGTGGAAGGAAGAGAGAGTGAACTTTAAGAATGCGAAACCTAGTTGGTCACAATAAGCAAAGTCCTGCGCAGTAAGTCGATGTCAGTGAGAGTAGGACTACATTACTTATTTATTGTAGGTATAAAAACATTTTGTGGCTCTTTAAAAACTTAAAAATGTTGTAAATTGTAACTTTTGGCTCTTTTGACTCAAAAGGTTGCCGACCCCTGGCCTAGACGGATTGAGAAGTTATTTTTAATACACGAAAGATTTTTTGTGCTACATGGAAATAAAAAAATATTTCTGTGCTGTATGTTATCAAACAAATCTGAAATAGCACATTGTGGATCCAATGACTTATCCAATCTTTCCTCTCCCTTGGTCTTACATGTTGGTGGTAACCTTGGTCCACAAGTTAGCAGTCAAATAGTCTTTAATATATTCAAAAAGGTTTATTTTTATGTGGCTATTCTTTTCCCAATTCATTCATTAAATTTAAAAAATGAGACTAGCTCTTCAAAAGAATGACCAAAAATAAATATGAAAGTTGACCGTAAGTCAGTGGGGCGAATTTGCTCGGTACTCTCTTAGTTACTTAATGAGAGTGACGGTTAATTACAGATTGTGTTGATATTTTTCGAAAAAAGGTTAGTGAAATGTCTTTAACTATAAATTTTTCAAAAATTGTTCCATTAAGTGTTATAATGCGAGACAAAATGTCATGAAATTGAAAAATATGCATTACATAATTCCATGAAATAATATGGCGCGTGGGTTTAACGCGTTAAAGTAAACGGGTCACCACTTTTATGTGAATTTCTTAGCATTTCTAGAACTTTGGGTTGACTAAAAACTCAAAGGAAGTACCAGAACGTCTAAAAGACGTAAAAATAAATCTCAAAATTACACGAAAAAATTGACTGTATGGGCTGTAAGTGCCCTTTGCCTTAAATGATACCATTAAATTACGAATTTTACTGACCAATATTTCTGTAAGAATCTAAACAAAAATAAACACTATGAATAAAGAATAGAGGTGATATTCTGCTTTTTTGCTTAAGATCCGTTACTCATAAAGGTTCTAGTTTATATTGGCACACCAAATTATCAAAAATAAGTTTTTTTGCTTCGATATACGGCTCATAGTACCTTACATAACGAAAAGTGACCGAATAGACCGATTAACCTGTATTAGAATGAATGAATAGAACATCGTTCATGAACTACACAATGCTATATTACATAATTGATTCTAGTTCCGTTTTTGCCAGAGCTATCATTAGGTCCATTGATCGGAAAATGACCAACGTTTTGGACGAATTGGGTTTTTTTCCCCGATAAGCGCTCATAAATTCCCGCCAACTGGGCATTTATATCTTGAATAAAATGTATTTGAAATTTAAACGAAAGATCAACTAATTGATAAAGATAAATAGAAATACACTACGAGTACAAAATACATAATGATAAAAATACATAAATCTATAAATTAAATATTTTTATTTTTATTCAACGATTGATTTTTTCATCGCCTAGCATAAACTATTAAAGTTAGATCTATGATCTTTAGTCAGTAGAATTATATGTGGAAAAAACATCAAATAATGATTAAAAGCTTGTATTTTGCAATATTTTCACGAAGAAATATTATTCTTAAAAAACTGATACAAACTTTTAATTCAATATTTATTTCAGTGTTTGTGTAAATTGTACCCTTAAAATACTGTCAAACTTCGCGCCAAAATTAACACAAACACTGGGTGCAATTGACACAAGCACTGGGTACAGTTAACACAAAGACTGGGTACAATTAACACAAACACTGGGTATAATTTACACAAACACTGGGTACATTTTACATAAACACAGAAAACAAATATTGAAAAATGTTCAATAAGTAGCCCTAACATGAAGAACGGACTTCCATACAAACTTCCTACTCCTATTCCACCCATTAAGGGTGGAATTTCCACAATATCTGATAAAACATTTATCAATTTTTAATCAGTAGCAAAAATAAAGTTTCACGTTTCTAATTTTAATAATGATGGATTTCTGACTGACTGATAAAACATTTATCAATTTTTAATCAGTAGCAAAAATAAAGTTTCACGTTTCTAATTTTAATAATGACGGATTTCCATACAAAGCAACACTTAATTCACCTCTCTAAAGGTAAAATTTCTTAAAACGGTGAAGCAGTTTTAACTTCTTTTTTATTAGTAACCCAATAAAAAAACAATTTTTCATATTTCTAACTTAAAAACCGACGGACTTCTATATAAACTTTCAACATTTATTTCACCCTTTTAAGAGTAGAAATTCCAAAATTCCCCTCTTAGTGTGTAAAAACTACACTGATATAACTTAACTGATCAAATATCATGGGTCCAACTTCAACAGTTTATTTTTGGCTATGTAATAATCCAATTAATCAGAGCAAGTACTAAATCATTGATATAATTATATTTTTATTAAAAATCTTTTATTAAATCAATATATTTTTTATGCCCTCTAATCAGGCAAATAAGTTTATTCCCAAAACGACGAGCTTTTTCCTATCTGCCTGCTGGGCAGAAACACTGCCCATCTCTAATTAGGTTGGCATCAACTCGCCCTTCCTGGTGGGAACTCCTGCACCAGAGATTAAACCCCGCCACTGCCCAGACCCAATGAACAAGTACACTGGAACTTGAATATGCAAAATTATTTAAAATGCAATATTAAACATCACATTTACTCTTAGAGCACCATTATAAATCAATGATTAGGAATGAGTTAGTCAATATATTAACAAACTAGTGTATTTGATAAACAATCGAAAAAGTAAGTCTTTTTCAAATATTGATCTGTCCCAGGATAAAGGGAATAAAAGAAAAATATTTCTAAAGATTTATATTAATGGTCTTATCGTTTTCCTCCTACACGAGGTGCAGACTTTTGACTGACTTTGGCCGCTTTGGCCTTAGGTGCAGCCTTTGCTTTTGTTGGAGGAGCAGCAGCTTTCTTTGCTGCCTTTGTAGATTTTTTCTGTTCCTTGGCTGCCCTGAAATATTAGATATATGTGAGATACCATTCTGTTATTCTCTTATTACTTGATTATCTGACATGCCCAAAAATATAATATAAATAAAATATAATGTCTAACACTAGTTATGTTGTGCTATTTGAACAATAAGACTTAGGTAATTTATAATTAAATCAGCTTACTTAATAGCCTGATCTCTTTGAGCCTTGCGTACTTCTGGTTTCATATTACGTTTGGCCATGATGTCACTGAGTGAAGCACCAACAATAGCACGTTGGAATTTTTGGGTCCTCCTAGTGCGCTTCTTGGTTTGCTCCTCTTCTTGCCCCTTCTTGAACTTACGTCTGAAATATATATTTTTTTTTACAGAAAACTTGAATAAATAAACACAATATATATATATATATTTTTTTTTACAGAAAACTTGAATAAATAAACACAATATATATATATATATATTTATTACCTGTACAGGACAGTCCAGGTCACTTTACGAGGATTTCTCCTCATGAGGTGTGCAGCTTCACATTTTGAGTTTAAAAATGTAAAACTCTGAAATAGATTATGAAATTATGTTTTAATTGTTATAAATAACTATAATATGTACTAAGTAACTATAAGATACATTTTGTAGGAACTTTGTAAATGTAATGTTATACAGATTTATATTAAAGAATTAACAGTAAATATACATGTACTTTAGCATCTTCAAAAAAATTAAATGAATGCTACTAAAATTAAATGTTTGTAAATTTGAAAATAAATAGACATGACAATTTACATTGCTTAGATTCCAAGAAGAGTAGTTAAAAGACCTCGAATTACAGAGACAAAGAAGGAACCACAAAACTCAAGCGTGAGACAATGTAGAAAATTACACTCATTGAACTCATCGGGAATCGAACCCGGACTTCAGATATCAAACCACTTTGAAACTGAGGTCGTCAAGAATAAAGTATTTAAACACTCAGTTGCACGTATATTATGAATAATATTAATCTGTGTAGATCTTACAGTACCGAAGTTTAATTTGGTTAAAAAGAAAACTAATCACAGAAAGAAGACAATTCACTAAAGTGGTATGGTTTAAATGTGCACAATAACATATAAATGTTTTAAGGTTATGTATACAATTGTAGATTCTGTTTGGGTAAAAGGCACTGAGAAGCATGATTGGTTTTCTTCATGAATTTAAAGTTATAAGCAATTTCATTACCTTCCCGTCCACTTTAACCATGGTTTTCCCATGGCCGGGATAAATCTTATATCCGCTATATGCGCACAGGCCGATCCTGAAAATATATTGCACATTTTACAAAAGGGTCACATCACATCCTAGAAATAACCAGTTTTAAACAACATTTTAATATGATTACAAAGATATAATTAGATAAAAAACAAAATTTAAACGTACTTCATTTTGACTTGCCAAAGAGGTTACTAAAGAAAGAAAGAGACAGCTCTATGTTGTTTGTGAAAGAGACAAAATTCTACAAAGTTGCCAGGTTGCCAGTAAAGCAAAACAAAAAAATGAATGAGGAAGTGTTTAAAAAAATATATTAGTTCTCGAAATCAAACTATATGTCGCTACGGAACGTTCTTGATTTCTCCATGACAACCTTTCCGGTTTTCTGTCAACTTGATTGACATGATAATTTACATCGTAACATAACTATAAAAAAAAATACCTAGCACCGAAAAACTAAAATTTTGTAACAATAATTGAATAAAAATAAGTAGCTACCAACTACGAGCAGTTTATACACCGGAATTTTTGGCGCATTTATCGGGACGTCTTCTTCTTTTATTAATGGCTTATCTGCGCATTTCGCACAATTCTGCCAAACTTCAAAGAACACGATCAAAGATGTGACATTTTAAATCAAAATGGATTTTTATTGATTAATTTTATCCGATAATCAAATCAATTAACAACTCATTGTTTTTAAGTATAAAAGACTTTTTTAATAATCATATAGTTTACCAAATTTGTGAAATAAAAGTAAAAGCCTAAAACATCATTTAAATTTTAATCTGTTGTTTATTTTGCGACATAACACATTGATATTATTGCATCGATGTTAATTTTTGTAACAATGACATCACTATACGCGTACATTTTCGTCACTTACGCTCTGACCAACAAGTATCAAATTCACAATAAGGATTAAAAAAAAACATTAGTTCCCGAAGTCAAAACTAGATGTCGCTACGGTACTTTCATGATTTCTCCATGACAACCCTTCCGGTTTTCTTTCATGTCTAAACGTAAATTAGTTTTCAAAACTCAAAAAACAACTTGTACTTCTTCGTATTTGTATTGATATCTAACTTTCTTTTTTTTTTTAATACTTCTTCATTATTCACTTCGTTATTGACTGTTTAAGCATTACATATCTGGTTAACTTACCTACACTTTCTTTATGATTTCGCAATAAATATTTTGATTTGATATGATTGATACAAAATCGTTAAGCGGCATTTTCGATGTTTCTTGAATGAATGAATGGTGTCTTTTATTACGAATGTTGTATATTGATTTGTTAATGAGTATGTATTTTCTTATATTACAATGGAAAGTGATTTCATAGTCTTTAAGTCACATTCCAATAAGACTTGTCTATGTGAAATAAAACAAGGAGAAAAAAAGGCAGCTCTAACTGAGTTTCTTGCTGGTTCTTGTACAAGGTCTCACTTAGTTTTGTGACTACACCACCAGTAAGACAGTAATAAAACTACATCAGTTAATGGAAAATTTATTTGTATATCCGCCAATGAAATAAGTACCTCTTAATATAACTATTTCAACGTCACTGTCCGCATGAAACAAAGGAGAAAGCAAAGCAACAAGTGAGTGCCAACAGCTGCTCACCTGACGCCTGGCAAAAAGGATCTCGCTAAATCAATGCCAGCCTTTAAACGCCACGTCACACTAAAATATCTATATTATTTTATGGAAAAAAAATATCATATTCACAATTAAGACTTTTCATTAACTGAAAGATGTCAGATGTCACACTTACATAAAAGGAAATAAATAAGATGTCAATACAAAAGAGTTATTATAACATTCGTCCCCACTCATATCTCGGTAATTAGTCTTCGAGGAGGTCGCACTATACGTTGGCTGCGGCGCAGAGGTAGCACTGTTTCAGCTGATGTATATTGTAGGGCTGCTACAGTTGGTGCAGGTTCTATGGTAGATGCAGCTGCAGGTCGTCCCTGAGAACGGCCACTGCGTGGATGTAGACTTGGTGACGGTGATGCCGTTGTGGGTGTTGTCCAATCGAGAGATGATGATAGCGATGATTAAATAGGAGTGATTAATGAAGACTGTAGTAATGGTGATGACTGGAGAGGAATAGTTGATGTAGGCATGGTTGGTGAAAGGTGTACGGATGGAGATGGTGACGGTACAATGTGCACAGGGGGTGAATGTTGCTGCGGTGATGGCACTCTTGAACGTATGTGGTCAGCATGTCTCCGTATCGATCTTCCTCTTGGAGTCGTGATCACATATGAGTATTTGTCCCTCCGTGCGGCTATTGTTCCCTTTTCCCAAAACTTTTCTAATTTAGTTCTCGTATAAATTGGTTCACCAGGTACAAAATTTCCAGCTTCAGATGATGCAGTGGTGACGTTGTTTTGAATTTGGCGTAACTGTAAATTTCTTCGTTTAGATGGCCTAATATTAGATAAAACACAGTTGAGCTGTCGCCCAAACATCATTTGTGCAGGTGATTTTCCTGTAGTATTATGAGGAGTATTACGATAGGTAAAAAGAAATTCAATGAGATGTTTAGCTTTGGTCGCTTGGTTCGCTCCTATTCTTGTGTTAAATGTTCTAACAAATCTTTCAGCCAGTCCGTTACTGCGCGGGTGATATGGTAAAGAAGTCACATGTACTATACCTAACTTTTCACAGTAATTCTTAAAATCGTGCGAGACAAATTGTGGGCCATTGTCTGAAACAATAATTTGTGGAAGCCCAAATGTGACAAATATATCGTCTAAAACCAAGCATAAATCTCTAGTAGTTATGCGTTTCATTGGTTTAACTTCCACCCATTTAGATAATGCATCACAAACAATTAGTCAATATGTATCGTCATATGGTCCAGTAAAATCGATGTGTATTCTTTCCCATACTTGTTCAGGAATGGACCAGGAAAAGATTGGAAGCTTTGGATTGTGAGGACGATTACCTTGGCACCCGTTACACTGCTTGACAAAATTCTCTATGTCTTCGTCTAAAGTCGGCCACCAGACGTAAAAACATGCGAGTACCTTCATCGCACTTATTCCAGGGTGACCCTGGTGAAGGTATGATATTACCTTTAATCGTAAGGAGTTTGGTATGATCATTCTTCCCTACCATAATAAAATCTTTTTTTCAACTGAAATTTCATTCCGTTTTCTGAAATAATGTTTTAGTTCATTATTATATTCAAAGTCGCGCCAACAGTTTTTAAGCATTGTACAACTTTTGATAAAATGGAATCGATCATGGAATGTTCTCTTATATTCTTTTTCGTTAAGTGTACGTCTGAGATTCTGTTTGAAATAAGACGTGAATCGATATTGCGTATTATGCGTTCTGTATTTGATACATCGGTATGATTATCAGGTAATCTTGAAAACAAACTGCTACTATATTCTGTTCACCCTTTTGGTAGAAAATGTGGTAATTGTAACTAGCAATGATTAAAGCCCACCTCACAAGTCTGTTGTTAGTTATTTTAGGAAGATTACGTGGAGCACCCAATATGTAAATGAGGGGTTTATGGTCAGTTAATAGTGTAAATTTTGTTCCGCGTAGATATTGATCGATTTTTTTTATTCCAAAAAATATAGCAAGAGCTTCTCAGTCAATTACAGAATATTTAGCTTCAGCAGTGCGCAATTTCCTTGATCCAAAAGCTATAGGTTCTTCGCGATCTTTTTGTTTGTGAATTAAACGGCTTTTTCCGATGCGTTGCATGCTAGAAATAGTGGTCTGTTATCATCAAATGCTATTAAGGGTTGCGATGCAGCTATGCACGATTTAGTTTTCTCAAAAATGTTCCTTTCATGACTTGTCCAACGCCATCGTTGTCTACCGCTTGTTAATTCATGTAAATCTGCACAGATTCCATGTTGATGTGGAATAAATCGTTCGTAAAAATTTACCAGGCCCAGAAAAGATCTCAGTTCTTTTGAATTTGATGGTTCTGAGGCGTTCGTTATAGCATCAAGTTTTTTCTTTGTGGGGCGTATGCCATTTTTGTCTATTGTATGACCCAGGTACTCTATTTGATCTTGTAGAAATGAACACTTTTTTAAATTTATTTTGAGACCTGCTCTGTGTAAACGTTCGAACACCGTTGATAAAGTCTGTAAGTGCTGGTAATTTGTTTTCCGGTCACCGCGATATCATCAAAATATACAGCCACGTTAGGAAGATCACCAAGCAATGTATCAAGATAATGTTGGAAGATTGATGGTGCTGTCGATATTCCAAAAGGCATTCTATTATATTGGTAATAACCTTTGTATGTCGAAAGTGTCAGGTATTTCTGTGAATCTGGAGCTATTTCGAACTGAAGATAGGCACCTTTCAGGTCTATTTTAGAAAAACATTCGCCATTAGTCAGTTTTTGTCGTAGTTGGTCGAATAGTGGAACGGGGTGTAAGTGTTTGACTAACACGGGGTTTAGAGTGCTTCTGTAGTCCCCACAGATACGTATAGTTCCGTTTGGTTTTACAACGTTTATGGTTGGTGTCGCTCACTCAACTGGTGTTATATTCGGATCTATAATGTTCACTTGATAACCTTCAACTTTCCCTAATTTTCCGTCAAAAAGTTGAGTATATTAGTTTAAGACTTGTTGAAGTGATGACTGTGTTTTACTACTTTTGATGGAATAAACAGGTTTTGGAAATTCCATATCAAACATTTCGCTCCATTGTAAACCAAAAAGCATAGGGTTAGCATTTGTCATAACTACAGCTGGTATGATTTTTTGTTTACCTTGAATTTTAACAGTCACTTCAGCCTTTTGATTTAAGTCTATAATCTCCATAAGCTTTTAATTTAGGTGCTTTGGTTAGAATTGGAGATCCTATTGTCCTCCAAAACTGTGTGTTAATAATTGTATATGTTGAACCAGGATCCCAATCCATTGTGCAGGGTTGTCTGTTGATAATAACATCAATTCTTTTGCAGTCTCTCTTTTTTTGTTGGTTCCGTCTAACGTTACATACGTAGTCGTCACTATCATCATTGCTTCCTGATGAATCTTCGGTTGTTGTACGGTTTTCTGTAACTTTTTGTAATTTATTACCATACTTTGATTTCAAATTACTGTTTCTTGCAATCTGTGCTCGGCCACTTTTGATGCAACAGTTTTCAAAATCCATTAGTCCATTAGTTTTGCATTCCTGCATGTGTGTTCTTTAGCAGGGCAGTTTGTAAAGCTATGTTTGTTACTTCTACCACAGCGGTAGCACTGGTCTTAATAAATAAATCGAGGATTTTTGTTGTTCGTAAAGCGTTTGGAATTCGTTGTAGAATGTGTGCTGTATTTTAACTTTTTAATAGATGTGGATGGTATATCATGTTCAGCTTGTTCTCGAGATTGTGCAACAGTAAAAATCTGTGTAAATGTAACTTCTTTTATGATTCCTTCGAAAGTTTCAGTGAGATCAGGCCATTTTTGTTTTAAATCTGTTTCTAATTCAACATGGTTCAAACCTGTTGCAAAACAGTCTCGTAATTGACGTTCTAGTAATGTTTCGCTATATCCACAGTCTAAGCTCAATTCTCTCAGTCGATTTGCATAATGTTCCATTGTTTCGTTGTTCTCTATAACACATTTCCAGAACACGGTTAAGGCCCGATATCTAGTTTTTTTGATATGAAACAAATCTAAAAGTTTGCTATGTAAATCATTATATGTACAGCCGTCAAAATTGGGAGTTAGACTGATTTTTACCTCTCTGAGTATTTCTGGAGTCAAACAATTGAGTAGTAAATCCTTTTTGATGTTATTGTCGGTAATTTTGTGAATTTTACATTTAATTTCGAAGAAGTCGAGGTAATCTTCCACTCTAGTACAATCAGGGTTTAACTTGTCGATGTTAAAATGTTTGAATATACTCAAATTTTTGTTATCCGAGTTCGATGTTGGTATGGTGTGTTCACCATTTGATGCTGTTGTACGTACCTGTACGCTCTGTGTTTGAGATGCTAAAAGTAAAAGTAATTGAGTTATCTGTTCCTGTTGCGCCTGTTGGGCTTGTAAAAATTGCGTAAACTTTTTGGCGTCCATCCTCGTCGCCAATAATGTATCTATATTATTTTATGGAAATAAAATATCATATTCACAATATAAGACTTTTCATAAACTGAAAGATTTCAGATGTCACACCTTCATAAAAGGAAATAAATAAGATGTCAATACAAAAGAGTTATTATAACACACACGATCCCTTGCCCTGCGTCTCAGTCCCTTTCCCTTCCCCTTCTAATGTTAATATTGTAGCTTTCTTGTAATTGATTTAAAATGTTCATTTCTCATTGGTTAAGTTTGTATTTATAATTTTAAGGATTTTTTATTGGTTAATATTATACTACGTTTTACTATAAGTAGCTGTAAGATTTAAAATAAAATTGTTTCCCCCCCTTGAGAGGGGATGGAGGCGGTCTTTCCGATGAAGGTTCGTTGCCCCTTCAGGGCACGTAACCAACTGTCCAAGGTTTAGTCAGTAAGAGTTTGACATAACCTCACAGGCGGCCGTGAAGTATCCAATGAAGGATTCACCGCCTCCTTTCCCCGCTGGGAAGGTGGTTCCGAACCCCTAAGGTTGAGAGCCGAAAAAAAAAGTAAATAAAACATTCCATCCTTCCACCTACGGAGTTTTATTACCCAACGACAAACAAGCCTACGACGTGATTAGAGTTGCCAAAGTGGCCACTTTGCAACTCTAATCGCGTAATCTCTCTCTCTCTCTCTCTCTCTCTTTTACGTTTTATACACACGAGGAGTAAGGAATTAGTTGTAGAAGGTTTCTTGTACTGCCGCCAACTTTACGTTATGTTACTTATTTTCATAATCAGTGGTATTTCTTGTTTATGTAAGGAATATTCTATCTATCTAGAGTTCACAAATTTAAGGATACAATAGGTTAACAGCTAACAGTATTTGTTTTAAATATTATTATTTTTCAAAAGGCGTTCCGTGTTAATGTTTTGCTTGTTCCGATATTAGCTTTTACATATAAATTATTTTCTTGTACTGTGGATGTAGGCACTAAATACCGATAGATGTAACCAGTCTGGAAAAATAATAATCTTTAATTTAGAAGCCAATGAACTGAAACAGCTGATCGTAATGTCGGTGTACTTCAATAAATCCTATCGAAAAAATTGAAAAACTTCAATTTTGTTTTTTTCAATAAGTACAATGGCTACAATATGAGGAACAGCGTCTATTATTCTAGTTTAATGTATACTCTATGCTGTATAAGGGATTACGGGTTATTTGTAACACGCGGTATATTGACATGACCTACATCGCGTTGATACAGACACACCATCTAACTTGGTTCCCGTTAAACTAGCGATGAGTCGTTACCCATTTTTTAAACACGTAACGTAATCGCTATCAGATAGCCAATCATCGATATCAAAACTATCTATTTGTGATAACTAGTTATTTCTACAACGCTACAAAGTCAAAGGAAATTTATTCTTATACAAACGCGATAAAGCTCAATTTTTGGTTGGTTACTTGATCATTCCGAAATCCAAGTAACGCGGACATACAAACATATACCTATTTCATTGACACGTATACTGACATTTTGTTGTTGTTTCATTCACACATAACAGGTTGCATTGTTTGCGCTCCATATTATTTAAACGCGTTACATTCTAAACGGTTATTATCGCTGCGAACTGTAATCGCCGCTACTTGGTGATCGCGGTTATATGGGTATTTAAAAAAAACATTAGTTCCCGAAATCAAACTAGATGTCGCTACGGTACGTTCTTGATTTCTCCATGATAACCTTTCAGGTTTTCTTTTTAGCTTAAAAGTAAATTAAGTTTTCAAAACTCAATAAACAACTCCTATTCTATTTGTACTTTTTCGTATTTGTATTAATATCTCAGTTTCGAACTTTGCAAATTTCAGTTTTTTTATATGTTAATTAAAAGGAAAGAAAATGACTGTCTTTGGTCCATTCGTTTCCTGCAAAAATCAACGTTTGCTATAGTCGCCATCTAGTTGAGGTCCTTTTTTGGTGCTTTCATTTTTTTTTTCAATACTTCCTCATTATAAAGCGAGTCGCCCAAACGTCAACCTTAGGAGATTTGCTTGAGAGTGAATCAGCTTTACTTTAAAAAATTAAGTTGTGGAAAATAGATAGTTATTGTATCACTGAATCTCTAGTTATCGCGGTTACTGTCTATCGCGAATAACGTCCATCGCTACGTTAAACCTTTATCTGTTAACGTTCTCACGCGGATAATAAAAAATGGGATTGTTGGCTTTTTTTCCTATTTAAATATTTTACTCTTTGCCATGATCTTTTCTGCTGAACGAGTTTAAGCTGAACTGAATCTAACCTAAGTTTTACAAGTGTTTTGGTAATTTTGGTGGTGTTTTGCATTAAGATTTACTGGTATACGACCAGTGGGCGCTGGAGATCACAGACTTGTACATTTTTAACCTAAATGATTTGTCCAGACTTTTTAGAATTTCAAGTAATTTTACAGTTTACCTACATATTGGTTAAAATCTGTTAAGTATGAAATTTTTCTTTCATTAACGAAAACCTTACAGGATATACTGAAGAAGATGCGGGTTTTAGATGACAAGATTGTTTACGCCTTGAATACTTCAATACCTACAGAATCTTTTCAGAAAAAAGTTGATGCTTCCTCTGCATGCCAAGACTTATATTCTCAAATACAAAAAGGTCATTCTGAAAGGGAGAATGTCATTAAAAATTGTATTGTCTCCACTGCTGAGACAGTTAAAAAACTCAAAGCTGCTAAAGAGCAAACACCGGATGACTTTGAAGTATTGAAATATTTAAAAAGTGAACAAAAAAAGGTTTGTGTCAGTTTCATATAAATTGATTCAACAATAAATAATTATAATATAATTATATGATGTTAACATACATATCATTCCTGTTTTAGTTACGTTTATTACAAACTGAATTAAGTGTTGAAGAAGTCATAAAGGAGAAAACTACAAAATTGTTTATTGAAAAATGCCGAACTTACTATAAGCCAAATACTTTATGAAGACTGCCCTCATGAACTTTGGAATTTTTAATATTTGTATATACACATAAATAGTCTTAGTTTAATAAGTTTTTTTTATTAAAATATCCTTTTTCCTTTTAATTCTAATAATAATAATATGATTGTCTAATGTTTTCAGTTGTTTAAGTGGATTGTGATAAAGAGTGATATGCTCTATATGTTAAAATTTTTTTAATAACACAGAAATCAAAACTAATATTATTTGACAAGAAGATAACTATATAATATACAAGAAAAGTTATTTATTATTAGTTAATCTATATTTTATCTACACAAAGAACACTATAGCAGTAGCTAACAAGGACTATTTTACAGAATCCACTTCAACTGCCTTTTTTTCTTTGTATTCCTCTTGATACTTTTTATGCCAGTCGAGATTCATTTGATGAACTGATTCACCTCTCTTTGCTGCTGCTTTCCCAGCCATGATTGCTCCAAAACTAGCTAATGCTGTTAGCACTATTAGAATGTTGGACAATTTTATCCTAGCTTCACTCTGAGACCTATCTATTAGGTCAGCTCTGTAATTGAAATATAATTTATGTTACAACATAAATTTCTTGTAAAATATATTATTATTATTTCGTACATATACATGTTTGAAACATTGTTTTTTTTTTACATTTTATTCAGGTTTTAATACAATCTGTATACTTACGAAACGTATTTTGGGATTTCATTTTTTGTCTTGAACTTTTTTGTCCAAACTAAAATAAACTTTTGTAATTCCGTGGGTTTATAACGTGCAGATAATGAAGCAATTGAAGGCTTAACTTCGTCAGAAGACACTTTACACATATTACGACTTATTACAAAAGCAGACCAGTGAGGGCGGAACAAATATTGCTTAATCATATTTAGTGGTCAGATTTCAAAAATTGATATTTATCCTTACGAAACAGAATTTTTCTCTGTCAAGGGCACAGACCACCACAGACTTAGTAGGTATCAGACGACCAACTTCCTAACAAAAAATTTCTTCGTAGAACGTGATTGGGAGCCAGTGACACATGACAGCTTCATTCGTTTTAAATATAGAGTTTTACTATCGGCAAAGGCATTTAGCTATACAGCCCTGTTTTGGGTAGGTACCTAGCCGTCTTCCTAGTTTCCACATTATTTTTACTTTAATTTAAATTCCTTTTTTGTTTTAATACAACAATAACAATAAAGCAGACTGATAAGTCTAGCTTATTATTATTGTTGTATTAAAACAAAAAAGGAAAAATGAATACGTAAATGAAACACACATTTTTCCAATATGAATAATTTATTTTTTAACTTATTATATTTTTACAGATTTCTTTTGCATTCTCGGCAATTCTTAGCTACGTTTTTTTTAGTGGCACAATCTTATGAAACTTTTCAAGGTAATCACATTTTTTTTAAAGAGGGCACTGATATTTGCATACCTTTTTATACACATATTTAAGTTTTTCTAAATTTTCAATTGCCTTTAGCCAGAAAGAATGATGCTCTTTTCCTTTATGCTTCTTTTGTTTATCGATGCTCCATTGACACTATCAAATAATTGGTCAAAGAATGAAACAACTTCAGCTGTATTTCTTAATGTTGTGCTGACGGGCCTGCCATCCACATAAGTTGCTGCAAATTAAAATATTCATATAATAATTGTATGAAACTTGATTCAAAACTATTAATTGTTAGTAAATTTCATCTAATACTCACAGAAATTTGCAGTGTAAGACAAAGCTGCAGACATATTTTTACACAATTTTTTACCTGCAAAAAGAGATATCATATTTAAAATTATCTTCATTAGAGGATCATTATTGTAATTTAAGTGTAAACTATATTAACTACTTGTTACATAATTACAAATACAGATCATTGAATCAACACTTGCTCTGATAGAGAATATAGAAGCTGAATGCAAATTATTTCTTTTATTTATACTAATTTAAGTTATACTAATATAATAACCAATGCATTACCTTCATCATTTTAATTTTATCAGGTATAACTCATTGGTCATTTAATTTATGACGTATCCCAGCTTCAGTGTGTTGACAGTCTGTCTCATAGACATAAATAATATCATGCTATTTTGCAAGTTTAATATCCAATATTAAATTTTTTGTTAAAAAATTGTTCCTGATACATTTTATCAAGTGTGTAGAATCATAATATTCAAATCCACCCCACATATTTTAAGAATGCCAACTGAAACAAAAATTTAAGAACTTCTTAAAACATAGATAACAATATAAAAATAAGAACCTTCACTACTTTCATTAAATCTATTAGTTTTCTTTCATATAAATATAATTCTCTGTACCAACCTGTGATTTCAATTTAAAATTTGATCACATTAAGTGTCTTCTTTTATATTTTTGAGTGCTGATTGGAAAGCCAAGCGTTGGTCATATATTATTGCGATGGGATCAAGGTCAACAACTTTTTCTAGTACTAACTTTAAAATATTCTTGATGTACAGTAGATGTCGCTCCTTGACAGAAATACTAACATAAAGGCTGTTGCCACTTGTAAACAGCACCAACATAAATACAAGAGTATGATCTGCAAAATCCACTTTCTTTTCTTGGTGTTCTACAATTCCATTAATGTTATCTTTAACCCTTATTACTTTTATTATATGAAAGTGCTGTTTCTAATGACATCTCATCAAATATAATGGAGCATATTTTTTTGGAGTTTCATTTGGCCACCTGAAAAAGTAAATTCAAATAGGTAGGTACATATTATTATTTGGTAGTAATACAAAAAATTATAAAAGTAGTATGAAAACCTTATATGGAATATATTTACCTCTTACATGAAGCCTGGTTCTATGATCAATTTTCTAATCATAGTATTCAGTGTAGTTTTGGATGATAAAATAAAAAATTTTGCTTAAAAATCAATAACACTTTGGACTCTGCTTTGATATTGATAAAGCAATTATCTTTTCTTCGGTAGTGAATCACCTCTCATGTTTATTTTTAGAACACAGGCTCACTTGCATTTCAAAAACATTTTTTGCAACTGTGTTCATTTTTTCTCGGAACTTTTCAAATGATAACTTTTTACAAAACTTAAAGGTATTTAAGTATTCTTAACTTTATTATGAAAGTTCAACTACGTCTTTGGCTTGTTATATTCTTCATAAATTCTCTGGTGTAAAGGTGCAATTGGCTTTATTTGGTAATAAGCCTATTCCTTTTTGTTTGGGTACATTTCACAGGGTCTGTAACATCAAAGGTATTCAGTGAATTTCTCTATTAGAACTACTATTTCATTGAAATAAAGATACACTAAATAAAGAGACAGGTCTTACCAGATAATTTAGTTTGTGTCATATTTTAATCTCCAGAGCAAGCAGCTAATTGAGTAAACTCAGTGGCTGCAGACACAGGAGTCTCAATTTGTCCTTTTAAAATTACACCACCTATGAAAACAATATTGATTATGTGTGTAAGATTAAAAAACAGGATATAATCTTAGATGATATTAGAAATATGTTATTTATATTATCAATTTATTCTCTGATCAAAATCATTTCTAGCGTGCCCGCTGGAGTTAAGTAACTTAATGTTATTTTTCTTTATGTGTGTAAGAAAGAGAGATCTACTTGACTTTTTAAAGCAAAAATCTATATTAAAATACACCAAAACTGCAGCATGAACTTTGTCATCTAAATAAAATAAATTAAAAACAAACCTCTGTTCAGTTCCACTTTCTAATATGTGTGGTCAATATGACTTTTTCTTGCATAGCTGTGTTCCCAAGTGAATATAATTTCTGTAATAAAAAAAAATCTAATGAAGAGTAGCGGTATTCCAAAACACAACATAAAGTGAAGATACATATCATTTTAATTACATTATCTAAAGGTAATAGCAGATTAAACCAGCCTTACCAGTATTGCTTGAAGAGGGTAGGCTGATTGAGAGCCCATCATCAATAAACAATGACGGATATGCATCACCCAAGAGTCATGATTTGGAGTGATGAATCTTGGTACAACGTGTTTGCTACAAATGACACTTCTGCCTGGATTAAAATTTTCAGTATCACACACAGCACTAAGACATTGTAACCACTTGGAGAATCTTTTCTCGTTCACTAGAACCTTATAAAGAATAGCGTCCTGTTCGTACTTTAACAATGCGTGTAACACAACCATAACACAACACACCAATTTCTTAGGCATCTTCTACAAACAAAAATACTTCGAAAAATGGAGAGTTTATATTACAAATAAAGCGAAGACGGTAAGTACAAAAGAAACTTTACTCAATCACTTGTAATTCCCTGATATGTAGGTACATACTTAAGTCTTCTTCTTTTATTAATGGCATATCTGCGCGTTTCACACAATTTTGCCAATGTGAAATTAATAAATTAATTCCAACATGTAAAATGAATTACAGATTGACTAAAACATGAGTATCTTTACTCTTTGTTGTAATGACAGTTTCTGTCAAGTATCATGTCTCCATCTACTGACAGGGGTGAGGGGCGTGAGGAAATGTCATACATCACTGGACCCCTACGCGATTGGATTATTGTACGGAGTTGATGGGCCGTGCAGACCACTATAACCATAGAATAATAGTACTCGTTGAGTAGCTCGCGAGCGAGAGATATATATGTTACATTTGTCTCAAGTGAGCGAATATATCATTTCGCTCGTCTATATTTGAAATATATCCTTATATCTTTGTAACACGATTCGTTTCAGACTAACTCCGAATGAATGAAATAGTCCTTGCAAAACTTCTATTTCGCTCTGACGTTGTTTCGTATCACATAAAGATAATGTTTACTTTCTTACCGCACCTGTGCTCGAAACAACTTCAGAGTGATCTAGGGATTTGGCACAGACTAAACGTTGAGTACATGCGGGTCATCGTCATCTTTCATTCATTTCATTTTCATTTTACATGTAAAAATTAATTTATTTACTTGACATTGGCAGAATTGTGCGAAATGCGCAGATAAGCCATTAATTAAAAAAGAAGAACAGTACATGCGTATGAAAGAAGTCTCACAACAATCCGATAAATAATAAAAAATTGAATGGTAAAAAGTTCATGAAATTTAAAGACATTATTTGACGAATATTTTTGTCAAATAATAATGAATTATATTTTTAAATCAAGAAGTAAAATGTGTAATTTTTCTAGATATGTAACCTGTGTTTCTAATCAAACGAAACACCAATCAGCACGTGACTTCTGTGTTAATAAGAATTAAAAAAAAGCGCAATTAACAGTCAAAGTGTAAAATTATAATGATGCATTGAAAGTTCTATGTACAGATTCAATTCGAAGGATTATTTTTATTTTATAACTCGTGTATTAGAGTATAAAAGAAACAGCATGCAATAGTTCATTTATTGAAAATTCCTAAAGTTTTATCTATGGATGACGTAACGTCTTTTGATTAAGTTGCTGTTTACGCGCCATTTTTAAACAATTCAATTAGAAACTTATAAGAGTCAATTATTATTAATACCTATAAGTATATTAGACGACATCACATACATTGTTCAAATTCCAAGATGAGTAAGAATCCAAAACCTTCGTATTATGGAATATCTGAGACAACGAAGGTACCACGACCACTCAGACCCCAGATCAAATGGAAAAGTGAATTTTCAACATTGACCCTGGGAATCGAACCCAGGGACTCACGATGGTGGCACCTTAAAACCGGCTTGTGAACCATTCGGCTACGGAGGTTGATTGACGTACATATGTAAATAATAGGTAAATTAATGTAAATAGATGTTAATAAATGTAGATAAAATTCGATTTGTGCATAAAAATGTAAATATTATTGAATGTCATTATTTTATCAGCAGTAATTCACTCAGATTAAGTTTCAATGTTGATTAATGTAATTATATATGTAAAAAATGATTAGGTAAATTAATGTAGAAAATGTAAATATTATAGTAAGAATATACATAAATGTAAATAAAATTTGTAAATA